GTGGGATCCTCTTGAGCAAAAATTGATTTAAAGTGAAGCCATGTGTGTATGTGAAGTTGTCTTGGGAGAGAAGTTGTCTTGGGAGAGTGGGCAATAAACCTGTTTTGATGAGACTGTATCATAGAATTGTAGCATTGGAAGGGACTCCAAGGGTCATCTAGTCCAAACCCCTGCAATGCATAAATAATTTGCTCCCAAGCCTTTGAAGTAATAATAATAATAATAATAATAATAATAATAATAATAATAATTTTTTATTTATACCCCGCCCTTCCCGATTCAGAAAACAGGGCTCAGGGCGGCTAACAGCAAATTTAAAACACTTAATTGATGCAACAAAAAAACAGCTTAAAAAACAGTATAAAATGTGAATAATAATAAATTCAGAATTAAAAAACCAGTTTGGGGGGAAATCCATCCAATAAACATTAGATGATCACCAGTCCTAGCTGGCTAAATTAGTCCTATTTGGGCCAGCGAGGAGGCCAGGGGAGAATTAGTTGTGGGGTCCCAGAGCTGGTAATCTTCATAAAAAGGGGAAGGGGAGGGAAGGAAGGGGAAAGATCAGGCTAAGTGCAAATTGAAAGCCAGACGGAATAGCTCTGTCTCACAGGCCCTGCGGAAGGAAGTTAAATCCTGCAGGGCCCTGGTCTCATGGGAATAGGACAGGGCAAGACCTCTGGATTTTACCTCTCCCCTGTAGAATTCAGGAGGGCCATACCCTGTTTCTCACTTGGATTAAATGTGCAGCCAGGATTGCCCATACATGGCCTTATTGTAGCTGTGGTGGCCCAAAGCAGGTGGCCCATTTTAGTCATTTTCAAGAGTGGAAGAGGATTAATTGTAGTTAAATGGAACCTCCATGTTCAGAAGTAGTTCTGAATACCAAGCGCTGAGGGCAAACAACAGGGGAGGGCTCTTGCTCTCCTACTCTGTTTGTGGACTCCCTGAAGCAGAAGTCTGTTGGGCCATTGTTGGAAACCAAATGCTAGATTAGATGGATTCTGATATGATTAAGAAAGAAAGTCCTTATGTGGGAGACTGACAGAGCTGAACCATGGAAAGAGTTTAGATTACAGGGGTCAGCAAACTTTTTCAGCAGGGGGTTGGTCCACTGTCCCTCAGACCTTGGGGGGGGGACTATATTCTGGGGGGGAAATTCAACCAATTCCTATGCCCCACAAAAAACCCAGAGGTGCATTTTAAATAAAAGCCACACATTCTACTCATGTAAAAACATGCTGATTCCTGGACTGTCCGTGGGCCGGATTTAGAAGGCGATTGGGCCGCATCCGGCCTCCGGGCCTTAGTTTGTCTACCCATGGTTTAGAAGGAACACAATATTGTTCACAGATAGCTCTCATATGTTTCAATGAGGGTTGTGAAGGAGAGCTTCCCAGTATGCTAGCTACGAGGAGGAGGGCTCCCATTTTGGATTTTCCACTGAAATATCTCTGGCTGGAGAATGCCACCCCAGTTATGCTGGTGTACACAAGTCACCATTAACCTTTCCTTTTCTCCTATCTGATCCTGCAAGAGACACGGATCACCATTGCCAATATAAACTATTCACAAGGAAGGAGGGGGCGATGCCACCGTGCTATTAATAGCCACTTTATTGCTCAATAATGACATTATTTGATCACCACGCAGCTTCTGTGCCAAAGGCTGCCTCTGGCCACTCGCAGCTGCCCTGCTTTATAGACTGGTACTATTTTGACAGTATCCCTGAACCTTTTCTCTGCTTGCACACCAGAACTCTGAAGGTGGCACAGCAAAAGCAACACTGAATCCCAGCAACTGGGTCACAGCAACAAAAGCTGGAAGGACACATTTGGACCCAAATGCTCCTGGTTCAGAGCCGGCCCACCCATGAGGCAAGGTCAGGTGACCACCTCAGGTGGCAGGATCCTCAGTGGCAGAAGATCCCAATGTCAGTATTTATTCCCTGCTTGTTCCCGATGTACTTCTTCACTCACTCCTTCCGCCATGGCAGGGAGGGTGTGTGTGCCATTTTGTGCTTTGACTCAGATGCTAAAATGTCTTGGGAAGCCCCTGCTCTGGTTTATAGGCTGCTAAGATCAATTAATTCCTACATGTGTTGAGGACCACTTCATAACATCAACAGCATCAAGAGAAAAAGCTCCCCCCCCCCCCGGACTGCTGCACATGTGTAACAAGGGAGTCAGTTGAATATTCCCCTACTTGAAACAACAGCTCCACACACACTGAAAAATGGCTCAGCCTACCTTCTTTCTCATCATTATTATTATTATTATTATTATTATTATTATTATTATTATTAATTTATTTATTTATACTCTGCATTTTTCCCTGACAGAAACTCAAAGTGGCTTACAGATAAAATAAGGACAGCTGAAAACATGGATGGGGAAAATAATTAAACATTAATATGATCAAAGGGACGCGGATGGCGCTGTGGGTAAGAGCCTCAGCGCCTAGGGCTTGCCGATCGAAAGGTCGGCGGTTCGAATCCCCGCGGCGGGGTGCGCTCCCGTTGCTTGGTCCCAGCGCCTGCCAACCTAGCAGTTCGAAAGCACCCCCGGGTGCAAGTAGATAAATAGGGACCGCTTACTGGCGGGAAGGTAAACGGCGTTTCCGTGTGCTGCGCTGGCTCGCCAGATGCAGCTTTGTCACGCTGGCCACGTGACCCGGAAGTGTCTGCGGACAGCGCTGGCCCCCGGCCTCTTAAGTGAGATGGGCGCACAACCCTAGAGTCTGGCAAGACTGGCCCGTACGGGCAGGGGTACCTTTACCTTAATATGATCAAAGCTATATATCTATTAAAAACATACAGATAAGTACAATAAAAACAGCATGTCAAGTTTTAAAAGCAGTCAGTTCCAAACCCTGTTGGGACAAGGACAGCAAGGAAGGAGCCATTCTGACTTCTCTAGGGGGCGAGCTCCACAATCTTGGGAGCAGCCACCGAGGAGGCCTTTATTCCATATGCTACCCCCACACCCCACACTTTAAAAGAAGATGTTTTTTGTGGGCCACCCCCTCACGCTAGGAAGAGTTTATTTACTTTTCCCAGGGTGGCCTCTCACCCTCTGTCGCCCCCTACGCAGGAGAGCACCTTTATGCTCCGCCTACTTTACCCCAAAACAGGAAATCTCTTTGTGTCTCTTTGCTCTGGTCAGACCTCACCTGGAGTACTGTGTCCAGTTCTGGGCACCACAGTTCAAGAAGGACACTGACAAACTGGAACGTGTCCAGAGGAGGGCAACCAAAATGGTCAAAGGCCTGGAAACGATGCCTTATGAGGAACGGCTAAGGGAGCTGGGCATGTTTAGCCTGGAGAAGAGGAGGTTAAGGGGTGATATGATAGCCATGTTCAAATATATAAAAGGATGTCACATAGAGGAGGGAGAAAGGTTGTTTTCTGCTGCTCCAGAGAAGCGGACACGGAGCAATGGATCCAAACTACAAGAAAGAAGATTCCACCTAAATATTAGGAAGAACTTCCTGACAGTAAGAGCTGTTGGACAGTGGAATTTGCTGCCAAGGAGTGTGGTGGAGTCTCCTCCTTTGGAGGTCTTTAAGCAGAGGCTTGACAACCATATGTCAGGAGTGCTCTGATGGTGTTTCCTGCTTGGCAGGGGGTTGGACTCGATGGCCCTTGTGGTCTATTCCAACTCTATGATTCTATGAGACTCGGAGGTGAAGCAGGTCCGGGAGTTCTGCTGAAATCCTTACCCCGCATTTCTGAGGGTTAAGACTGACAGAGAGACAGCCATGCGAAGGAAGCTCCAGGTCAAATGTGGACCCAAAAGGAAAGGCGGCCTGATTGCCTTGATGGAGACAACAATTCGGGATTAGATCCAACAGGTGCCTGCGGAGCACCCAATACACGATAATACCTAAGCATGAGGGCACCAGTAATTCCTCCACTGTTTGTCCCTAGCGTGCTAGATTCAAAGGTATACTACTCCTGAACATGGAGGTTCCACTTAGTTCACCAACTCTCTCAGTCCCAACAGGCTTTTGTTGGTGGCTACGCTTTCGGGGGGGGGGGGGTTTGCAGAATGGAAGAGGAAGACGAGAGGTGCCCAGCTCCCCCCCCCCTGCCACAGTAAACTGGACACTGCTGATCAGGGCCGGATTTAGGTTGGATGAGGCCCTAAGCTACTGAAGGTAATGGGGGCCGTTATATGTCCAGCTGTCTTTTGTCAACAACAAATTGTGGCTGTTTTTTTTGTGTTGAATATATGCTATATGGTAATTTATGGACCTAATAGGAATCTAAAGCCATTTGCACATAACAAAATATGTATTTTATCAAAGTGATGGTTGAAGTGAAATACAATTAAGAAGAAGTATATTAATAGTGAATTTTTTGGGGGGGGGCCCAAGAGAGTGGGGCCCATAGCTGTCAACTTGCGAGGAATCCTATTCGGAATAAGGGAATTTCCCTTTAAAAAAGGGAAACGTTGACAGCTATGCTGAGGCCCTAAGCTATAGCTTGTTTAGCTTATACGTAAATCCGACACTGCCAGTGCTGACACTTGACGCGGTAAGGCTAACCTGTCCTTAGGCCTTTGCTGACGGAAAAGGCTTTCTGTACACGCTCAGAGGCACTCTTGCTATTCCAAGTACGTCGAGGGGGATGGACTTGCGAGGAGAAAGGGAGCCGGCTCTACATTGGACGGGAGAAAGCGGCGAAGCCTGGCGCGTCTTGGGCGCGGGCAGCCGCGGGCGGGGCTCTTCCACCGCCGCTCGGGCTCCGTGCTTCGACTTCGTCCGCGCGCGAGCCGGCTGCCGCGCAGGCGGAGCCTTCCTCGGGGAACCGCGGAGCCTAAGGAGACGCCCGCCCACGCCCGTCTCGTGGCGCCGCCGCCGCCTCGCCAAGCGGGGGATGCCGTGAAGGCGGCGACCCTCGTCGCGTCCCCTCCGCCTCCGCTGGTTCCTCCCTCCCCGCAGCCCCGCCGGCGGCGCACTCCCTCCTTCCCTCCGGAGGCGCTCGGCGGCGGCGCCTCAGACGCGCGCAGCGGGGACGCTCCGTCGGCTCCCGGCGCGGGCTGAGCTCGGTGTTCGGGCAGGCGCCGCCAGTCTCCTCCGGCAGCCGCGGAGCATGGAGGGGGCGTCCGGAGCCGGCGCGAAGGGCCCTGGGCGGCTGCCTCCGCGCTAAGCCTCGCTTGGGATGGCAGCGGCGGCTTCTTGGCGGAGTTTGTGAGGCGCTTCCCCGCTCGAGGGGCGGCGACTCGGGTTGCTGGCCGGAGACCCAGACCCGGGCGCGCAAACTCCTCAGCCGCAGCCACCCCGCGACCTGCCCGCCCGTGTAGCTCCGTCCGAAGCCGGCGAGGAGGAGCAGGATGGAGCCGCCGCCGCCCTGCTCGAAGAAGAGCCTGTCGCTGTCGCTGCCCGTGCCGCGGGAGGGCCAGGCCACCCTCAAGCCCCCGCAGCACCTTTGGCGGCAGCCCCGGACCCCCATCAAGATCAAGCACCGCGGCTACTCGGACACGGAGAGGCACCCGCACCGGCAGATCGAGAGGGCGGACGCCATGGACACCAGCGACCGGCCGGGGCTGAAGAAATGCCGCATGTCCTGGCCGTCGTCTTTCCACGGGACCACCAGCACCAGCGGCCACGCCGGCAAGCGGTAGGCTCCGAAGCGGGGCGTGGGGGGCGCGTCCGGGGGTCGGCGGGGCAAGTGCCGCCTGGCGCGGGGAACCGGGGACTCTTGCAACCGGAGGGAAACGCATCCGATTGCTGCTTTCTGCTGAGCTCCAGGTTCTTGCCCCCTTTCGTGTTTTGACGGCGTCGCCCCCTTGACCCGCTCCGCAGATCTTTTGGTTGCCCTGAGCCTTGTGCTTGATTTCAGCAATCTCGCCCATCCGTGGGGCTTAGCGTTGCCCATCACCTGGAGCAGTTTGCATCTGGGCAAACGATAGCTGCTCGTTAGAGAAGTGGGCAGGAGGCCCTTTGCACATGCCTAGAGGCGCCCTCCTTATTTCACAGCTTCCCCGGGTGCAATCTTAACTCCACCTGAGCTCTGCTTTAGTAGTGCCTTCTAAAGTTATAACCTGCCCAGCACAGAGCGCCAGTAAGGACGGGCTTTAGCTCAGTCAAGGTCTCAGCTTCAAACCCCAGCACCTGCGGGTAGATTTGGGGAAAGATCCCTGCCTGAAACCCTGAGGAGCTGCTGCCTGTCCGTATAGGTAATACTGATCCAAACGGAGGAATGGGCTGGCTCAGTACAGAGAAACTTCTTGTGTTTGTGCAGTTGACACAGGGCCTGAACTCTAGGCAGGTATAAAATTGTATTTATCCTTTGGCAATCTCAACAGCCTTAGCTGCTTTCTCGCTCTCATCCATACAGTTCATGAGAATAAAAATAATGCCTCATAATGTCTTGTCTTCAAGAGAATTAGTAGCAGCTCCCTTCTCTCTCATACAAGTCAAGTACTGGTTTCTGTGGCGTGAAACCGGCATTTCCAAATAACCCTGTTCTTTATTTTGATTATTAATAATAACTCCACGCCCCGTTCATGTATCGTGCGTAAGAGAGGCATGTAAAGGGAGAGGCTCAATGTGTGGAAAAGAGCAAACCCTACAACCTCACTCTTGAGAACAAGGGGGGGGGAGGACTTGTAGCCCTCTGGTTGTTGCTGGGCTGGCTGGTGGTGGCTGGAGCCGCCACATCACCCGCAGAACCCCACTGGCTCCTTACCCCTTCTTTAGGAAGAGCTAGGGACGGTGGGGGACATTGAAGGCATCACCCCACAATCACAGATTTTCAATAAAAATATGGGCAGCTGAGTTCCTTGCTTTCCAAAAGTAGTGGAAGGTTTTTGTTTAGGGCTTGTTAGGGGAAGTTCAAATGGGCACCAAGCTGTGACCCTCCCAGTCCCTTCCTCCGAACTTCCTGTTTTTAGAAGAGAAAGCGTTGAATCCTGCTTTTTGCTATTATTGTTGTCTGTGGCCTCTTTGGTTCAGCAACTGCCCTTCTCCCACAATGTGTGGCTTCCTTTAAAATCCAATTAACATTTTGTAACAGGCTGAACAGGAGGGTGGGGAGAGAAGGCTCTCAGGAAATTGAAATCTGATGGAACAAGTTGTCTTTATTTATTTTGTGGTAAAATGTGAGCTCTTCCAAATTCATGCAAGTCTTACTCCACAGTAAGTTAAATGTCAGGCTCTACTGAAATTAGGGCTGTGGATCAGGAGCGGGGAAGCATAGCTTACTCTCACAAATTTCACTGTTTTGTAATGTTCATCTACACAACTCAGTCTGCAAAGCTTTACTCATCAGGGAGGTGAACACGATTGTCTGCTAATTGCCTGCCCTCAAGTTGCTGTAGCTATTTGAAAAGTCAACAACCCTAAACCAAACCACTTAAGGTCATCCCCTATAGGTTAGGCTCCAGGAGCTATGCCTAGTTTGGGTGCTTCAAAATATGCCTTGGACCCCTCTGAGAAATGTTAGTTCCTGTGGCAGATATTTTAAAGAGTTCTTCAGCGGGTGGAACTGTGCGGAAAGGCTTGAGGAACCCTGTGCTAGTCTTGCCGTGATTCATATTAGCTGTAAGCTGATGGAACTGGAGTCTGTTGTCAAGGCCACACAAGATATTTTGACACCGTAGGTGTACCACAAAATGGCGCCCCCTTCCCCACCAGGGAAGAAAGGGTGAGTGAAAATGTACATCAGGGACTAGATGGTTGAATAAACATCTATATTGGGATCTGGTGCCCCCTGGTAGCTCCCCACGAGCTTGGGTGGGAGAAAAATGCTATCAGCAGATGGGCTGCTGCCGCCACTTAGTCTGTTCCTTCAAGGCCTGCAGGTTTTCTGATGAGTGCTACTCAGTGATGGAGAAAGGGTCCACATCTCTTCAACTGTTCAGTGTTAGCTGGTTTCCGTCATCCATACCCTCTGCACAGCTCACTCTTAGTAATTATTATTAAATTTATATACAGGTGGTACCTCGGGCTACAAACACTTCAGGTTACAAACTCCGCTAACCCAGAAGTAGTACCTCGGGTTAAGAACTTTACCTCAGAATGAGAACAGAAATTGTGCAGCAGCGGGAAGCCCCATTAGCTAAAGTGGTACCTCAGGTCAAGAACGATTTCAGGTTAAGAACGGACCTCCTGAACGAATTAAGTTCATAACCAGAGATACCACTGTGCCACCCTTCATCCGAAGATCACAGAGTGGTTTACAGTGTAAAAACACAAATTACGGAACATAATAACAAACTGCACCACCCACACATTTAGAAGGCCATAGATTGTTTAATTAGCCAAAGGACTGGGTGAAGAACGTTTTTGCCTGGTGTCTAAAGATATGTAATGAAGGTGCCAGGTGAGTCTCCCTGGGGAGAGCATTCCACAAATGGGGAGCCACTACAGAAAAGGCCCACTCTCATGTAACATTAGCAAGAACTGTAATGGGACCTCAAGGCTCATCAGTTCCAGCCCCATCCACTGCAGCAGGAGTCACTTGTCCTAAACACTTTCTGAGAGATGCTGCTGAGCATGCCTTTAAACGGATTGCATGATTTTCTCACTAGGCAGATTGCTCAGCTGTTCTTGCAGACTCCCTCTAATGTTGAATGTTAAGGTGATTGCAGTCTACCTTCTAGTCTGTTGTCTTGCCTCATTGGTCAGTGACACTCTCTAGAATAACTTCAATCATGGTATCAGTTGTGTTTTCTGTGTGGAAGGAATCCTGTGTAATTTGCTAACAGCCTCTTTCCAGAGCGTGAGTCCTCACCTGCCGCTGCTTGGTTTTCCAGCCAATCCTTCCCCGTCAGCCATTACCAGTAGCTTTTTAAGTGTGCAGTGAAAGCACCTTTGCCTTCCTTTGAAGGAGGTGGCTGCCTGTACAACCCCTGTGTGCTAATTCTTGTTGTCAAGGTTCCTTGCATTCCACTTTTGTCTGATGGGCAGCTCCAACATGGGAGCTCCAGCTGGCACACGACACTGACATATGTCTAGATGTAGCTGAGAGAAGAATTGGAAGAAGATGAGGGAGGGAGTTGATGAAGTAAGAGCACTGCCATATGGCCACAGGAGATCGCATCCAAACATGAGTTCTGGTTGACTTATGGGGAGGGGGGTGTCCTTCAGCCTGCTTATCCTTGACACATTTGCTGCCTTCTGCTTATAAGTTAGCAAAATGTACAAAGCTCATGCCAGTCATATGCTTGGGTAGGTGGTGCAAACAGTTGTGGATATGTCTTGCATCAGGGCTGAAAAATCATTTAAGCTCTTCGGAACAGGGAATTATGGTCTCTGATTAATAATACTAGTCATATGTAGCTTTTTGCTTTCTATAAGCTAAGGACAGTGGAATTGTTGTCTAGTTGCTGCACAGCACGGATATATATATATTAGCCTGTCAGCCATCTACTGTGGCACGAGGCAGGTATCCTAAAGGTGGAGACTTGGTCTATACAGTATACTCATAGAGGAACCGTTGAAGACCAAATGTGGTCTTCTAACCAGTAGGTGGATATGAATAATTGTGTCCACTTAAAGTTACCCAGTTTATTTCCCATTATTGGATAACTAGAGAAGCTGGGAATAGTCTAACCTGCAGGAGTGCTTAAGAAAGAAAGGAAGGAAGGAAGGAAGGAAGGAGGGAAGGAAGATAAAGAATTTCAGAGTGTGATTATTGGACACAGAATCTTACGTTTCACATATCAGTTTGTAGTCCTTGTGGTTGCAAACTGATGTTTAAAAGCATGTTGGCAATGCCTTGAAATATTAGCTATGTAGGTGATAAGCTGAATATATTTTCTAGTGGTTAGGCAGATGAGTTTAAGTACAGCTCTTTGCTCTTCTCCATGATTAGCAAAACTAGATTACACTATACAAAATAAAAAGTCATTCAAATTTTCACACAGACCACAAAATTCAGCTTTTTTGATGTTGAATTTAGGTTGCTTGGGCAAATTTAATTTCTTTTAAGGCATGTGTACATACAGGTAGAACAATATAGTATTTGGGCCACCGTTGCTTAGAACTGACATCTTGCAAGTTTGAAAATATTAAAATTTTAAAACACAATTTCCCTATTGTCTCCTCATTTCAATTCATCTTGGTATCTCTTCAGGCCTTTTCCTTCTAGCATCTTGTAGAGTTGTCCAATTCTACTACTGCTTCCCTTGTCTATCTGAGAGAACAGAGACAGCTTGCTCTTGTAATCCAATATATTTTAAACAATGAAATAAAAATTCTTTTGAAATAGGCTGCCTTTGGGCTGGCTGAGAGCAGACATCTACTGCCCACAGATAGTCATTAGTTGTAATAGAGCAGCACTGGCATTTTAAAATGTATGGCTGTGAGAGAGTAAAAGAAAATTAAAAAGCCTCAAAAGTTTCTTTTCAAGTAAAATTCATCTGAGATTTCAGCAGCAAATCAAAGCATAGTAGGGTATGTGGGAATGAGAACATTACCTCCAATTCCCCTTTATTAATAATTCTTCCTATGATTAACGTGTCTCTCTCTCCCCCCCCCTTAACTACCTCCAACACCTTAAAGACAATTTTGGAAGAGCATTATGCCCCTGAATGGTGTTCAATCTGTCCTTTCTTCGTACATTAAAAGTTCAGAGGACAGAATTCCCAAATTGGGCACTTTGTGGCAATCTTC